ATTTAATTTACTTTATTTCATTTGAAATTGTTTACAAAGTATTTTTTTTGAAATCATAAAGAAAGTTATTTCATATCATCGAGGTGTTGTTTAGCAGACAAAATTACGCCTAAACTTTACCTTTGACCTCTCTTTCAGAGTTCATGCAATGATAGTGACTTTCCATATTTCATTTTTCAAACATTAAAACTTTCCTTTCATCGCCTGCGAGATGAACAGAGCCATTTTCATTGAGCGGATTTAGTTGTTAATAGGAAATTGAAGTGAAACTGATACAATTCGATAATTTTTCACTGTTCATTGGAAGTACGGTCAGTATAATATAAAGCAGGATGACAGGAAGATTGTTGGTAGGATGTAGAAAAGAAAACAGAGGTACCGGACACAGGTATCCCGAACTTTGTCACTTTTCACTCCTTTATTATGTTTATTATTCTAATACTCAGAGGAGAATAATAATGATACCTTGGTGATTCATAAAATGTGCAACAATTTGTTAATTCAAGCTAGAATAAGCTACATTTCCGCAAGATTCCTTCATTGGGGTTTAAGGCGCAAATTTACGATTCACGAGATTCACTTGATTCTATTGGATACTAGCGCAAATTGTTGTTGTAGCAGTGTAATCGTAGTTAGTGATATCAGCCTAAACTGAAAGTTTCACAATTTTTTGATTAAACAAACCTTAACTTGTTTGAAATATTTGAGACAAATGTTGATCAGATTTCAACAAGCCAATATTATTGCGAAAGTTGTACAGACTTCAAATTATTGCTTAGTAAACTATTTTCTTTTGTAAACATCTCTGGGGAGTTGTAAATGAGGGATCACTTTGGAAGACTAAATGAATCCTGTTTTCCAAATGTTTTTCAATTCTAATGACTGATTGAATTGCTAAATGACAATAGAAACGTTCGGCTTTCTTAATCTGTAAACTTTGTAAAAAAAGTAAATGCTCGAAAGTTTAAACAATTTGCTAGTAAAGTACTGGAATTTTGGAAAATTCCAGAATGTCTGGAAAATTTTGATGATTTCGGAGCAAACGTAACTTACCCATTCAGCATTCATATCTCATTATTAAAATCAAAATTTTGCGGAGTTGTAGCAGACACAAAGCGCTCCGTCATTCATGTTAATCTGTTATTTTAGTATTTTTGAATGCTAATTAATCACCTTCGTTTAACTTCTGTTACAGTTGTTTGTTGTAACTTCCGATCGCCATACATTATGCGTTTATGTCTATACTTTGATAATATTCAAATTGCGATAAACTATTTGGACATTATTTCACTTCAATTTATCCATTCATTTATTTACATTATTATTCTTTGATTTGCTCATTGAATTATACAATTCTTTTTTTTTTTTAATCAACCTGGCGCAAATATAACACCCTTTACTCCATTACTATTGTTACCGTACTCGATCATAATTTGGTAACGAATGACATTAACTTTTCACAAGGCTGAAAAGATTCAATAAGATAAGGCGGAATTGTAGCATTGAAAGTTATTTCCAAATGAAATACTTTTGATGTTAAATGAATGAAATTGTTGAAAAAAGTAAATAGAGGAAATTCATTTTTCCATAGAAAATTACGATTTTTGTCTTTTTCAACATTCAGTTTTCCGTATGTAAGTAATCATTTATGATTTTACGACTAACCTTGCTTGATTAATTATCAAAGTTTGTCCTTTTTTTACCTGTCACGTGTTCACATTGAAACCATCAAATTAAATATCTTAAACAATAAGTATCGTTTGTTACATTTCTTTAAATTCTTCAAAATTTATTTTCAAAAATGCAACAAAAAATGAAAAATAAATAAATAAAAAATTTTGTTTGAAGAATTTCCATCTCTCATTTTCCGCTCATTCTTGTTGCGCCTACATTTCATTGTCATTTAATGACAATTTAGTGTCAAATATCAAAAAGTTAAATTATAATTTTAAAATGATTGATGTTGAATTTGTTCCGGCAAAATCCGGATTTTTCCCAATTCGATTACTTATGAATATTTGAAAATTTTGAAGTTTTGATATAGTCTGCCTAATAGTTACAATCAATTTTTTTTCTTATCACTTCATGCTTATACTTTGACTCGTCAAATAATGTAACAAACGCTTCCGGCTAAGTTATTAATTTTTGATAATTAATTCATAATTAGCTTATAGATCGTTAAGAATGAGTAAGAATTAGATAAATCATCTGATAATTGTGGAAGCGTATTTATCATCCTAGAATTGGTGTATTTTCAAAGATCAACAATAGCCAAGGATTCAAAACGATCCATAATATTAGCTACCAGAGCCATCCTTTGCTCCAATCTAGCATATCAGGTCATTTTATATCACCATATCAGGTCATTGATAATTATTTTATCAAATGTGATATTTGTTATCATTGTTGGAATTACATATAAAATCTTTTTTTAGTGCAACAAAGTCCTACAAATGTTTCACAAATATATTTCACATTCATTATCATTAATAATTCGTTTTTTAAGAACATATGGAACTTTTATCGTCTTATCCATGCCACCTTTCATTTTGACCTTATATCATATCATATCATATCATATCATATATCATATCATAAAATGATTCCTTAAAGTATTGCTCAATTCATTTTTCAATAAATAATGCAAATGTCATGTCGTCCTTCCCATCGACTTAGTCTCTTTCTTTATATGTCACAAATAGTTTAACCGGAAGTGGCAAAAAAAATAGTTCCTGTCAGTGTTTTCGTTCCACTATCAGTTCCATTATCTGCCTTCAGTTATTCTCATTCACATTGATGACTAAACATTATTTACAATTCCTCAGCAGTAGCATTAGCAAAAACGTCATCACATTTAGCTATCCTCAATACCATTTTGCAGTCACAACATAAACATAGACCTAAACAAACCCCAACAAGCTTAGATCAAAATTAACTTACTCATTCTGGCTGTACTGATGCAAATACACACATACATACAACACACACAGACACAGACACACACACATACACATACACGCATATACACACATACACACAAACACACATACAACATACACATATACAAACACATACATACATACACATAAACACAAACATAATAGATACAAATGAAACAGGATGTAAACAAGCCACCGCGGTTTCTTCAACCGAACAGCCCGAAAACTCATAAATGAACCATTGTCAATCAAAGCTGTCCTTCCAGCGAAGGATGGATGTGTTCCTCCTGTCTTTCATGTTTACGTGAATAAATGTTCATCATCACGTTAGTGTCGTTCGTTGGTAAATATATGTAAGATGGTGCACTTCAAATGGTCACTTTCTCCACGACTCTTTCAATGGAAAGACACGTGTGACACGTATAATGACATCCATTCATACGTAACGTGTACGTCACTCTTGCAATTTAACACTTATGGTGGATTTCTAACTTCTCGATCAATGCTTTGTAGAAGGAAGAATGAAGAAACCAATTCGAGTACTGGAATTATCACTTAAGAGGAAGTGCCAATAATTTTGTGGGTATTCGAAATGGGAATGAATCATGCTGATAAACCTATTATATGAATTGATGACGGAGAAAGTTACGGAGGAAATGACCATATGAATTTAGGATATCAAAAGTTTAAAAAAAAATTAAGAGATATCAGAATTGGTTTCAGAGTGGATGTATCAGGTACATTTGAAATTTAGTCTTTTAGGATTAGATGGAATATAATCACTCTCTGATATGTCTAATTGAAATCATTACTTTATCAGTTCTGTATTAATAAGTTTAGCATTTGATGGATTTTCTGACTCACTTTTTGGAACCTTTTAGAAATCGTAGAAGCACAGAAATTTCTTGCCTTTCCTATTCCGCTTATCACTCGGTCTTTTACTGATATCATCATTAGAAAGAAGTGATCATAAACAATGTGAATGAATCAACAGTTACTGCGAAGGCTACCAATTATAAACAAGAACTTGTTTAATTTAATAGAACTAGCTGAACGAACAAAGGTACCAGATCAATGTGGACATTGGTCATCATTTCATTAAACCGATTTAGAACTTAGAGCTTAATTTTCACTTTTGATTAGACGAGTGAAACAGGTAAAATAATGTGATAATCATTGGAAAGATTTTCATGAATGTATCAAACTACAAATAAATTAGGAATTATGACTGTGGCTATATGTCATGTCATAATCCTTCCTGATTGAATTAACTTGATTAAGAAAATGTCATCGATTCGAGAGGTCAACAGGTTGTGATAAACAATGTGTAAAGTATAAGTGGAAGAGGTTCAGTGAAGTATTATTTTTACTATTTTAACAAAATGAATAGAACATAATGAGAAATATTTTATTGTAAATATTTGTGAAGAAATTGATCATTTCAGGTTGAAATCATTCGAAACTTGAACCAATGAATAGATGGATAGATAAATCCTCTCCAATACTCGTTATCACCGACATCAGATTGCGTTGTATTAATGAAGGGGTAATTAGTTACAATAATTAGTAATTAGGACATTTTATTGGAGTTCGTATAAAATATCTAAACTTCATATATGCATAACATTAATTTCTGCTGTAAAATCGTTTTAGTTATTTTGTGGCTTTGAAATAATTAGAATATATATGATATGATATGATATGAATAGTAGTACAGTAATGATAACTTAAAGTTAAGTATGTTAAGTAGAAAATGTCATATGGTAAATGAAAAAAGAAAAAAGTAAGAAATGATCACTAAGAACTTGAAAAGTATTGATTCTGGAACAGATAACTTTTTAGAAGAATCAGCAGTCATATCTCTTTTTACCTAAAAATTTTTCCTGTGATTGGTTCTAATCACTCTAATGATCCGAGAAACAACAGTCCATTCCGGTGAAGAATTTTTCCTGTGATTGGTTCTAATCACTCTAATGATCCGAGAAACAACAGTCCATTCCGGTGAAGAGGTAATGGTAACTCTCGGAACATCAGTACTGAAAATAGAAACACATACGTTCTCTATATTTCATTGGTGATATGGAACAATAAAATGGAAATGAAACTATAAAACATCTGGTGATGTATGCCGAAAATGCTCGTAACTACTATGCCAACGATATGTCTGTGTTTGTGTGTGTGTACGTGTATGGTGCATATGTGTATGTATGTGTATGCTTGTGTATATGTGTGTGTATGTGTACTTATTTGTGTATGTGTATGCGTGTGTGTGTGTGTATGTGTGTGTGTGTGTATGTGTGTGTGTGTGTGTGTGTAACTATCTATGTAAATGTGTAAGTGCATATGTGTGTGTATGTGTATGTGTGTCAGTATGTGTGTGGTTCTGATAGAATTGTAATTTCGCCTTGTCACATATATTTTATTACCTTCCATTGTTTGCATTATAATGAAGAAAAAAGCTATTATCATTGAGGAATGTTTCTATCCAACTTCTTCCAGAAATAATTTACCGAACTTGTTAATGTCACTAGAAAAGATCGAACTTATCATATATGAGTAGAGAGTAATAAATGTAAATTAAAATGTAAAACTAGCTAGACATTTATTTAAGCTAGCAGTTTTTTAAATGCTTGAAAAACACAAATTAGCCAATATAATGTCACAATATTCGAATAGTAAGCTGTGATATTATGTGACATTCCTCTATTAGGCATAAATGATAAAATTGTAACAAAATAATCAATCATTTTAACATGACTAATAATTGCAATTACATCAAAATATATTGTACACTAATTATTATTCTGAAATATAGCTAAACCGGTTACCGGTTTTCAATAGTGTATTTGCCGATTCTATTTACAAATACATTCTCTTCTTTTTAAGGCATTGAACATACATCGTCATCATCATCATCATCATCGTTTACATTTCATTGGTTAAGTGATATTGAACATAAAATTGGTGATGTGAAGAGTTCGTTGTTTACAACAAATTTTTGTTAAAGATTGTTTGTTTTTTTTTTTTCTATCTGCTCTGTTCATTTCAACGATTCTTCTCAACTTCAGCAACAGCTATTTCAACAGTCCTCTCTTCCTTCCTTCCTTTTCTTTTTTTTTTTTCCACCGTAGTAATCACTCTTTTTACATCCCTCTTTTACACCTCTCTCCTCTCAAACTAAAGAACGATTCATTGTTTGAAAATACTTCACTTTTCCTTTTTTGCTGCAATGCCAAAAATAAGAAACGATTTGTTTGTATGATTGAACTGTAATGGTTATGGGGGGGAGGGGGGGGGGGCATTTTGTAGCATTATCATTAAGATAATTATTCTTATTTTTCCCTTTCCTTTCCCTTTTTTTTTTTTTTTTTTTTATTAATATTATACTTAAATAACTATTAATTATTCATCAATTTTAGATGTAAACATTTCCAATGAGATGAGAGCATACATTCATCCATAGAAAAAGGCTTTAATAATCTTTTTTCCAATTTAAAATCATGATAATGTACCGAATATGTGTAATTACATTTGGTAATCCAAATTGTACCTCATTAAGATTAAAAAATTAATTACATCGTCTTTTGGGATAGAGATTGTTATTACTTGTTATTTTTTGGTACCACCAAAAGCGCAATACATACTTTTTATTTCGTTGCAAAGGTCTAGACGGGAGAAGATCACGTGAGTTCCATTCTATCTTACACGACAAATATCTGTCCTCATTTTATTGCACTGTTCAAAAATCATTTTGTCAAGCATTTCTTATCTCCCTCCTACTAACAATTATTACCTTTATTTTTGCAATGAGTGTTTTTTTTTTAAAAATCTTGGTAATTTAAAAAAAAAGACGGAATTTACTTGCCATTGTAATATTTAATAAAATTTATGGCTTTACTTTGCAAAAATTGTGAAAAAAATTATGTTACACAAAATGATATTTTGTAACTTATCGAATTATTTACTTACTTATTGACACATTGATTTTTTAATAACCTAACTTATTCCACTTCATAAAGCGATAATAACTTGGAAATAATGGAGCAAACATATATGTAACAATTGTAATAATTATTTCAGATAAGCTAAACAAATGCTAAACATTATCAGCCAGGTAAGTTAAAACGACCAACAAGATATTAATTATTGGCAAATGATTCTCAATTATGCATAAGCATAAGTTTAATATTACTACCATTAATGATTGATTCTCTCCGATTGTCCCAGCATAAAAACATCTTTGCAATGCATTAAATAACAATGATATCGTAATACATTAAATGCATTGATATTTATAAGATAAAAAAAAAGAAGGTAAAAAGGGTCAGTCGTAACAAAATCTCATTTTTAATATTTTCAATATTTTTGCATTTCAAAACAAAACTTAACCAATTTTTCATTGATTGATGTTTCAAACTTTCTGTTTCATCGTCCTCAACGTCCCCTTTTTTTCTGTTTTCCACTCAGCTGCAACGAGAGAAAAATAAAAACGAGAAAAGGAGAGGTTATTTTTTTTAATATTTATTTCTCTTTTATCATTTGGTTGTTTTTTTTTTCAGTCAACTGAATGAATGCATAATTAATGGTATTGGAATAGTTTTTTGAGCATTCAATCAATTGTAGGAGCAGATTTCTGCATAAATTGATTGATGTTTACAAAAAAAAAAAAAAAAGAAAAAAAAACGTTGAAGTAACTGATTGTTTGCTGTTGTTGCTTAGAGGAAAAGTGGAAACAGTTTAATGTATATTTTGATTTAAAGCTTTTTCATATTTTTGCACATTCTTTGCAGCGCTTAAGTATAACCCAAAATTTGAAAATTATTTTATTTTATTTTATACTATAGTACAAAGAATGAGTAAAGTTAGCTGTTATAACTTTAAATGCACAGATATGTTTGCCAACTTGAATGAATGCTTTTTCAGCTTTTAAAAGAACTAAATCGAATGCAAAAGTGAAACCGGAAAAGGCTTATTAAAATGAAAAGTTAAAATTTAAAGTTTTTTTTTCCGTCCATCATCAGTACTGCGCATACACATTCACTCTATAACCTTCAGTCCTCTTTTTAAGATATACCCATAACAAAGTTCTAATGTACCCCCCACACTGTCCATTTGAACCAAGACTTTCCTTTTTTTGTTAAAATCTTAATAAACGGACATAAAGTTTTTAGAAAAAAAAGGATTTTTAATTGAGCCTAGCGAAAGTTCAAATTTGGATGAAATCAGAAGAAGCGTTGGTTTCCTAAAATTGTTGCATATCACATTCCTCAACTAATCTTCACAATAGTAATATGATGTGCTTCTCAAGTGATCGTTTTGAAAACCTGATCATTTTGAAAAGATTCCCAGTACTAGTTACTCGTTTCCATACAATCCACACTAACAATGACACCCAATAACCGGTCTGATTCTACTCAATTATTTTTCGCCACACTGTAAATTGCTAGTATACCAGATCTCTAATGTTTTTTTTTTTTTTTATTTACAATCATTATATAGGTAATCTACTCTAGCAACTAAATTCTTACTTTATGGGAAGTAATAGCTAGTAGATGAACAGTTATTAACATTTAAAAATGCTCAGCTTATGTAATAATCTTATCTATTGCAAAATGAGGGATTATAAATGCGCATTTCACTAGCTTATTTCACTGTTCACTTTTCACTAACGCATTTCATTATTCATTTAACTAGCCGCATTTCACTAGCGCATTTCATTATTTACTTCACTAGTCGCATTTCACATTTCACTAAATTTCAATTAAAGGTTTACAAAAGTGAATTTAATGAGATTTAAATGAGCAGAAGATGAAATTATCAAAGCGAATTAAAAAGTACAACTTGTTGACGGTATGTGGAGGATGTATCGCTTCTCCAATCATAATTTGTAATATTACTTATTATTATCTGATCCTGCTGACGATACATGGATAGAAATTCTTCAGAATAAAGTGGGAATGCGTCGATGCTGCGGGGTCAACCTACCATTTCATATGATCTTGGTTTTGGGATGATAGGTTTCAGTGATTTATCGTTAAAATCGTTCGCCGGGAATTAACTCATGTTATCGAAATATCAGAGGTGAGGTTGGGGTTAAGTAATTGCAGCTGGGGTGTACTGAGCTGATGTTTGACGCATTGAGTTTAGTAAAGAATGAGGTCATGTTGGTAAAAGATCGATAAGCAGACAAAAAAAATATTCCATACTCTTTTTTCTCTCTTCCCGTGACCAAAATTATGTCATTATCGTTGTATGTGTCGCTCTAGTTCTTGTCACATTTTTTGCGACGCTGTTAATGTTCTTACTAGGTTGTTTTTGTACTTCCCCACAATTTGGAATTCAAATCCTATGTCGAAAGGTTATCCCAGATGTTCCCATCTTTGCATTCAGCAATGTCACATACCTATACAGTGAACGACAATACCGTGCGTTGCTGCGTATGCTGTCTTGTTCTTCACATTTACCACTGTTTTTGTCGCGTCGTATACTACAAACTGTATTTTCCTTTCATCTCTTCCTTTCTGTTGGAGTTCAATTGTTAACTGTTATGGTAATTGGTAGATTACATCGTGCCGTACGTTTATTGTCTTCTTTACTCTAGCTATGTTTGCTATCTGTCATGCTCTGATTTATCCATATTTTAATTGGTTTGTGCAATACAGAATTGGGAACTGGTTTTACGAAATTGTTATTTCAGGGTTTCTCATTTCTCATTTGGAGGAGATTTTCTCTGTTACGCATATATACCTAGTACCAGAAGGTACAATATTATTCTCGATTCTGATTTTTTGGTGGTTCATTTGAAGGAGAAGCCAATAACCGCGGCATGTTTGGAAAATGGAATTCTATGCGTTCTTCCATCTGATTACAATATTTTGGATGTCAGCAGAACAAATGTTTGTACTGTTACAGAATTACTTATCTCTATTTTAAATTAGAAGAAAAATGGACAAAAAACAAAGTTCAAGTTCAGTGGACGAAGAAGCAGGCGTCCTGAAATCGGGCTACGTTACAGCTGCATTTTCACCTGTCGTAAGTGGCTTTTCTTGAAATGCTGTCATGATCTCCAGTACTCTTTCATTTAGGATTAAATTGTTTAGGGAATTCGTCACATTTATAATCATATGAATTAGAAGCTGCACCTTTAATAGACCTGAATATCCACTGCTTTCGCATTTAGAAATGGGCGTCCCGAAATCAGTTACGTTATAGCCACATTTTCACCTGCGTAAGTAAATTAGTACTAGATCCTGAGCAGAATTCCTGATTATGACTTGTCTATATTCTGTTTTTCGATTTCTGTATAACAAAAAGTAAAAATTGTTTTTATCATTCGTCTACAAGAAGACTTGATAATGTTTATTAATTTTCAGAAAACAAAAAGAATGTATTACGCAGTGTTGGGTCATCGTGCACTTGAATTACATGAAAGTGAAAAGAAATCTCAAAGAAAGAACAGACATCCACGACATCTGATTGATCTCTCCACGTGTTTCAACATTAATCGGCATGTAAGCCGAATCATTAATTTCATATGTAACTTTAGACTTATCGAAGCATTCTTCTATCATCTTAAAAGCCTATGCTTATTAATTAATCCTTTTCTTAGAAACTTCTCATTGGTGGTAAACTACAAATATTAATTTGTGTAGAAAAAGACGAAGCTATCTTTAATTTCTTTCACTTTTCTGCAAAATGAATAGTTGTGAATTTTTTTTTCAACGTGAAATTTCTGGAGTGGATTGTGTTCCTTCAATTAGTAGTTCTTTTAGTGCATATAAGTTCAAGTTTTTCCAGTGGGCCATTTTTCTAATGTCACTGTGAGTTCCCCATTGTATGTAGTTGATATTATTAGATAACGGTTCACAGTTCTCTCAAGTTAAGGAATAATATTTCTGACAGTTTTCTATTGGCTAATTGAAAAGTCGCCAGCTGTTGCTGTATTTTTTAATAGATGTTTTTTTTTTCGAGACAACAGAAACTTTTATTTGTTTTTCCAGTTTCAAAAACGAAAATCGCGAGATTTTGGGTAGTTTCAGAAATGTTACTTATTTAATTATTATTTAAAGAATTGGGGTGTGCACTCCATTGGCCTGAAAATAGAATTGAAGTGAAATCAGTTAAGCTTCGCTTCCTACCAGACCGGGTTTTATGGCGTTACGTGATATTTTGATCAACATTCATCCCTAACAACTTTCATTATATTAAATAATAAAAGTTGTTTAGGAATGGATGTTGCGATTTATTTGATTTTTATTTGATTTTTTTTTCTTTTTTTGTTTGAAAGGAATGATTTATTTGATTTTTATGTATAACCAAAGTATTTTTAAATTGCATTCCATTTTTTAAGTAGCTCAGATGCTACTTTTCACAAATATTTTGTATGGATAAATGTACCGAAACTTTGAAAGACATTACATTTATACTACAAAGTATTAAGTAACCGAGTGGGGTATTATGCGCTGTTTGACATCTCTTGCATTATCCTGCTTTAATTTCAATTTCTGTCTCCCTGGTAATTTTTTAAATTTCGTTTTCTGGGAGGATTCTTCTGATAAATTTGTACGTTCTGCATATTCTAATGGCAGAGAAGATTTACAAAAATTTCTGAAGCAGTCGATTGTTATTAATTAGTCAGAGTCAAAGACCTAGTCCTTCATTAAGTCCATATCGTCTCTTAGACTATTAAATTTTTCAATTTCTTTAAGTCAAGTTGCCTGTTAAATTAAATTATTAAATTGTCTCACGAAAAATCGTCTATTAAATTGTCGCCCATTAGATTAAATAAGTTTTTTTATCGTCCATTAAATTTTCTTTCTACAAAAATCTGCTAGAATATTTTTTACAGTTTGATGGCCGATTAAAATATTGTGTAGCAATTATGACACCTGATGAAACACTCGTTTTGCGAGCGGAAACGGATGTGTTGAGTGATGAGTGGTACGATATGTTAATGTCTGCGGTGATACCCGCCCGTGCTCTACATCTTGGACGACCCGTTCTTGCTAACGAGTTTTTTGGTAAGTCTTTACTTTTTCCCTTAGCTTTTTACTGGTAACGGTATATTTTATTTGTCATCGTTTGTGCCATTATGTTTTTATTCAACTTTGAGCTGTTCGGAAAGAACGAATTAATAATAATAAGATTATTCAGTGGCTTATGCCATGTGTCTCATTAGCCAGGAACTTGTGAATAGCTAGCTCTAACATGCAAACGATAGCATTGGGCAGAAAGTGTTGATCGTCTTGATAGTTTTATACCGGTGGAAAACTCGCAGTTCTCAAATTAAGCTGCATTTCTCAAACTGGAAAGTAAAAAAAAAATTATATAGCTGTGGTTCTTGTTATTCTTCCCAGTGGGTTGTAATCCTTCCAAAATGATTTTATTGGGGAAATGTTGTTTTAGAATGTGCTTGGGACGTAACGATGGTTGAACATCCAAAGTTCCGGAAATCAGTTAAATCTTCGGAGAAATTGGTTAATTTGTGTACAAAAGACCCATCATTACTTGGACCACATCGATTATGTTTTTATCATCACACGATTATTTTATGTCGACGAGGTATTGAGCCAGCATCTTCGGATGCCCTATCGCAGTCAGGCATTCCGCCATTCAGAGTAACCGATTTCGTCGAATTTCCTGTAAGTTTCTGAATATTATCATATTATCAATATTATCATTTATCATAATTATTCAAGTATTATATTAGAATAAGAAATATCCAGATTCTTGTTTCCGCAGGCAAAACCCAACAGAACAGTTGTTTAATTTCAGTTGAATTTTCCTGTAAAATTTATGTAAATGCGTTTTGCTTAGCACAAAAAACAACGTTGTTTTGTTGCTTCATATCAGATTATGTACCATTATTTCTGTGGTCTATCTTTGGTGAGAGTTAATGAGTTCAAGATAGTAAATTTTACTTCATTTCTATTTCGCTAAATTTTACTTCATATTCCATTTGCTCTGCATATTTCACAGAGCAGTCTACTCCGGTGTATGTAAATGCGTTTTGCTTAGCACTTTTTAATGTTTTTATTTTAGCGACAATACATGGCTAGTTTTGGTTGCCAGGAGAGATATTTTTTTATGGTGATGGGTCGCTCGTCACCGTCCGGTTCCGGCGAGCTATGGGCACTGTGTGATTGTGAGGAAGTAGCTGCCGATGTGCACAACAAGTTGAATAAAATTATCGAAGAGGAGTGTGAAAAAAAGAAAAAAATGCCGAATGGGTTATTTTATTTTTAGTTTTGGGTTTTCTTCATTTCATAAGCATATGATTTGTTTTTAAAGTTAATTACTGGATTACATTTTAATCGTTAATTTAAAGTCATCAGTGATAATAGCTACACTCATTTGATGATAATAATTTACTTTGCTGTAGCAATTATCCTTCCTACTTTTTATTTCAATAATCTATATTTAATTCTCCAAGAAATTTATGTACCTTCGGACTTGCGTTCTGTGTTTTCAAATCTCTCTATCTCTCCAGACTTAAGATTAGAGAATTCAACATGTACTGGAAGACTATTCTTCTTACTCGACAAACAGCGCTCAGGATTTTCAATTATTTGGTCGAACAGCCTGAAGCATATTATTTCTTTTTGTTATCTTTTTCAGGCCACTATTACACTTAACTTCTACGTATCATTCGCATCGCGACCGACTTCATACGCACAGTGGACTTCGAAGAACAGGGACAACAGCATCAAGGTAATTTTGTCCAACATTTCTTGTTAGAAGAAGAAAATGGATGAATGCTAGTTTGTCTCATCAAGTGACTGTTAGCGCACCATGTATTTTCTTTACAAAATAAACGTTCATGTAGGCGATTTTCAACTTTAAAGAACTAATTATTAATTTGTGAATGTAATATCTGGGAAAAACGAGTAATCTTTGAAACCGATACTCTTAGAATGAAATCACAAAGCAATGGTTTTTCCTTTTTTTATATTTTGAAAATTTATTGCTTGATTATTTTAGAAAACTGACACCTGATGAACTGTCACTGAAGGAACGACGAGCCCAATTACGTGGTTATAAATGGGCTGCAGATTCAATCCAGGAAAGAACACAGGAAGAAACATTATCGCCAAATGTTCCCTCTTTTCTGTGGTTCGATTCGACCACCGTTAGGTACACTTTATATGTTGCCAAGAAATTACGTTGACATTTATATCTAATACTCATCGGTTATTCATACTTTTGTCTGAAGTATCATTGCATTATTCATTGATTCAACTTGAGATGGAAATTCTGATCAACCTGTATATCAATACATCTGCAACAGTCTCACCTTTTTTATTTTGGATTTTGAAATTCCAGTTGTATTAGCGTCTCAGATCGATATCTCAATGATTTATATTCTGAAATTCATTTCTTCACCGAGAGTTTATTCCTTGGAGTTTTTAATGATCTACTCTTTACAGGGGGAAATGTCTGAAGAGTTCACGGTCCGAGCAGAATTCGTCAATTAAAAAAATTGATCGAACACGAAGTTTTGAGACGAAAATATCACTTCCCTCGTCATCAGCAGTTCCCCAGTCAGCTCCATTTCATACCAGTTCGATCAAGGATTGCATATTGATTTTATATAAATGTTTAATGCAGAAATGGTTTGAACAGCATAACTTCTTTACAGGACAGGAAATGAAAAAAGTAGTAGGAAATGTTTCCCAGCAGAACTGTCATTAGAAAGTTTGGAGTGGTCAAGTGTTTTTGGAAATCATTTTCCGCTTGCGTCATTATCAGCTGCAGAAGAAACTGAAGACAGGCAGGTTTTATATGTTATCTAAAAAGTAGTGCTGATAAAATGTTTATTTTACCTCTAATGAATTGTTTATCTCCAGTTCTTAACATTTCTCATGTTATTCCAATTTATACTGGAAAAAGGCAGTGTGAAGATTTTGAAACAGTGGTTCTTATTTTATTCTTTTCTGATCTGCTTGAATCTGCGTAGAAAATTGGAAGAAGCAATAGTAAATAGTGGTATTAGTAGTTGAGTAGCACAGAAAAATTTAATGAACTGAATGGCTGGCAGTAGAGAGGGTGATTAAACGCAAAAGATGGTAGAAACATGTAAATATAAATTCATAGGTTTTTATATATTTTTAATATTATCTGAATCTGTCCTCATCTTTTTGCTTTTTGAATCACTGTAACTGCTGTATGTGTGAGCATTCGCATATCTGACCTACTGAATAGTGGTTGAAGTTTTTCTTCATTATCTGTTATGTTTCAACCATGGTTATGGGCTATTTATACACTCATATTATTATTAACTATTTGCTCGAAGACATTTTTCATTCGCCAAACTTTCTGGAGGCTTTGGATTTGAAATTAAAATAAATTATAGTGGTGGCACATTACGGACCGACGCGGAGGAAGTAACAAATTCTGCTAAAACAGCTGTGGAGCGACAGATTAAAGCAAACATCGAACGAACGCATCCATCCATATCAAAGCAACAGTTTGCACCCCACTCGGATTCTCGCAAAATTATCTCGACAACCAGTGGACGCTCCGAATCTGATGATCGAGCCGATGGTACACCATGTTCAGTTGCCGGAAGCATGAGTACCAATGATGATTTCTTGCAGTCAACACCCGGCGAAAGTAATAGTTATTGATATTGTAAACGCAAAATTAAAGGAAAGTCAAGGTCATGAAAATAAATGGAAAAAAGCTGTTATAAGCTGTTGCATTTAGAAAGTTCATATATCTCATTCAAAGGCTTTATTTCTTTTTAACATTGTTAACGAAGCGGCTAATATTGTTGGGTTCCGTTTAATGAGTAATGATGATAGTTTCAAATCTTTCAAAACTCATTTCCCTATTCAATTAACTGATGGGTAGACGATGGGCTTGGTAGTTTCCCATCCGCAACAGAAAATGGGACACTTACCTTGTATAATAGAAGTCAGGTTGATCAAGTTATATAAAAGCACAGTTTTTGTTTAACAGTAAGGTAATGTATGTCTACCAACTATACATTCCCTAGAATTTTGTTAGATTTCTACCGTTTTTGATATATTTACTACTACTTTCATCTGCTTTTTCTAATTTTCTACTTATTTTCTACATTTGTTCTTGTGCTAGAGAATATGCTGCTGTCAGTTCTTGACCAGGAGATAAATAAACTTCCGATTTGATTTGAAAACTTTGTGGTTTTAATGGTCATTTCAACCATTTTTAGTGTCAAAGAATGCATCTGGAGATAATTTGGATTATGCTCCAATGGAAATGAATTCATGGTCATCAGGAAGTGCATCGCTTCTTGGTCTATCAATAGGTAATGATTATAACTTTTCATTATAATCATTAAGAAAAAGTCTTCATCATTACCAGCTGAAACGTTCCTGGCGAAATTATTTTGTCCATCAAATTAATGTATGAAATACTGTTGGAATCAAATGTTTTTTAGAATCGTAAGTTTGAGGTGAGGAGCGATGATGCAACACAAAACAGATCAAAGCGAAGTACTTGACCGAGTTTTTTTTTTTTTTTTCAGCTAAATAAGCTCCTTGTGATAAATCTTTGTATTATTTGCGTTTTCAGGAGAGCCACAATTCAATTTCGAGGAAGTACGATCTTATGTGTCGGATAGCAGTGATAGTTGCTATTCTTCAATGGCAGCAAACGGCGCACCGCGGTAAGTTTTTCATTTCGATCTTGTACTAATTTTAGTGGTTCGCTCCCTTATCCTGAAGTAAAGCCTTCATGGGACTTGCAAATATATTTTGCTTCATGAATATTTTTTTAGAACATATTCGTTTGGTGCATCACACATTGTGCATCAGCAACCGCGACATTCAGGTAGAAAACTGATGCATCCCGAACATGGTTCGCCAGCACCAGATTTCCTGTTAGTGAAGTATTATTAAATTATCACATCTCGAATCTCTTCAGTTTTTTCTCTAATTTATGGTTTCTGTTATGCGTAATTGCGTGTTTTTGTTTTAACTTCATAGTCATTTCTCATTGCAGGCGTGATAGTGGGTCTTTACCGCAAAGCGAAGATATACATCATTCGAATAAGCCGTCATCAACTTGTTCTCAAGAAGATGCCCGAAAGAGAGCTTTTTTCTTTAGGAAGCAGCAAGTCGTGGTTTCAGTATGTTAAATTTCAGATATATATATAGAGATAAAAAAAAGATATATATATATATATATATATATATATATATATATATATATATATTAT